CTTCTTTAAAGTTGTTTAAAGGACAAAGAAGATCATTATTCTATAGAATAATTGCTACAAAATAGTAGAATAATCATCACTGGCATGATAATGTGCAGCACATTAGAGAAAAAAGTGAAGTAATTGTTCATTTACATTGATAAAGTGCGTGCGAGTGTCTTCATGGACCCGTTTGAGTTACATTTTACCCTCCAGAATATTATGTTATTCTGTCTACCCATGTTCACTTTATTTTACTTAATAACATTTTTTGGTAAGTAAAAAAAAATGCAATATGATAGCCAGTAGCTTACAAGGAATTCATCACAACGCAAATGGTCCTTTTCTAAATCAATGCTATAACACAACAAGTAGATTTTCTTTTAAAAATGACAGTCATAATGACTCTCAAGGAGCCACACTGTTATACTTCTTTTCTATAAGCACAGATGACCTAACTTTATTCAGTGGTATACCTCATTATTTTCACAATATTGTGCATTTGAATATGGCAATTAATATTAAACATGAAAATTGCTGGGGCTCCAGGGTGGCTCAGTCTGTTAAGCCTCTGACTCTTGATTTCGGCTCAGGTCCTGATCTCAGTGTTCGTGAGTTTGAGCCCCTCATCAGGCTCTCTGCTGTCAGCACAGAGCCTCCTTGGGATTTTCTCTCCCTCTCTCTGCCCCTCCCTGGCGTGTGTGTGTGTGTGTGTGTGTGTGTGTGTGTGTGTGTGTGTGTGTTTTCTCTCTCGCTCTCTCCTCTCTCTCTCTCTCTCAAAATAAATAAATAAAAATTTAAGGAAAAAAACATGAAAATTGTTGACCTAAGCAGATAGAATCATTTTTGGTCATAAAATATATGATCTGAACATTGTAACCATATGAGAGTCTCTTTGGAAGTGACTATAAATTTAACAAATATCATATTCTCCAATTCATGTTTCTGTTTTTAAATGCTTTAAAAAAGTACCCCCCCCCAGAGGGGGGATTTGAGAGCATTTGGCAATGTCTAAAGACACTGTGATATGGTGGTAACAGAAGGGAGGGTACTAAGCATCTAAAGTTTGGAAGCCAGGGATGCCACTGAATATCCTACAATACACAGAACAGCAAAGAATCATCCAGTCTCATACATCAATTAGTGGCAAGGTTGAAAAACTCTGATGTAGAGAGAGATGATTCCCTAGATAATAGCTGAAACTCAACGATATAAGCCAAAGAGGTAAAGAGAAACATTACATTGAAAAACATTCATTGACAACCACTCTAGTTTGTTTTGTATATTTCTTTATGAAACCACTCAGAATGCCGTAGACTTTTTCTGCTGATTATTACCCACTGACAAGAATCATGCAACCACATTATGCTTTGCTCAGTGGTCACATAGCACACAGCATAGTCAGAGGGCTCCCTGACCATCCTTTAGTGCTACAGATGTACAAGAAACAGTAATCTGACAAATACTTGCACACTCAGGACGTCTCTTGTGCTGCCTTCTCTGTATTCTCATAGCATAGTCTGCTGCACTGTGAAAGGAATTCATTTGTATGACAATCCTGTTAATTTCCCCCTTAACAACATACACACACACTCACACACGTGCACATACAACCCTAAGTAGACCATAAACCTATAGGGAAGATAAGAGTCAAGAGTATTTTGCATTATTGCGTCTTCTATGTGTAATGCCCTTTTAATTTTTTCCTTGTCTATTTACAAACCCATGCACACTATGTAAAATTATTTGAGGATGTCTTCTCTAAGTTTGCAAGCTGGACTTTCCACTTTATGGTTCCCTTATATTTTTGCTAATCAAGCACTATATTTAAATTTTATGTTTATATGTCTGTAGCCTGTTCAAATTTAAGGACTTGTTTCTCCTTCCTTCCTTCCTTCCTGCCTTCCTGCCTTCCTGCCTTCCTGCCTTCCTTCCTTCCTTCCTTCCATTTTTTTAACATTTTATTACCAGCCACTATCAGTTCTTAGCACATAAAATGCCTTTCTTTCCTCTCTCTCTCTCTCAAGAATTAAAGAGATACAAAACAGTAGATTTTTTTTTTCTTATAACAGGATGATCCACAAATTAAGTAATGAGTATATGATAAAAACAATGATTTTATCAGGCACCATAAATGTTTTTAAACATAAATGTTTTTATCACAAGCCTGCATTTCAGTTTTTATTATCACTTTATAAATAACATCTATATGTATATGTAGTTTCTAATAAAGAAGAATGCATTACTCTCATAGCAAATAAAGCCCACAACCCATTTTTAGAAGTAATCACCCTCACCACTATGTGGGTTTCTTTCAGATATGCCCTATGTGCCCATATACTGCACAACGCATCCTTATTTTCTAGAATAAACTGTAGCTTATTCCACATGCCTTTCTGAAAACTTTTTTTTTCTCACTAAAACAATATAGATCTTCAGCATGTATACACATGCAAATTCATTCATTTTAAGGCTGCATAAGAAATCTGTATATGTTTGAAGAGTCATTGACTTGAAAACTTCCTTAATAGTAGACCTTAAGTGTATTATTATGAATAATACCATAATGGGCATCCTTTCACATATATCTTTGTATAACCATGTGGACACATCCATAAAATAGTTCTCTACAATAGAGATTGTCCAACAAATGGATATGTTCTCCTTAAAATGTTGAAAGATATTGTTAAATTGCCATCCAAAACAAAACAAAAAACAAAACAAAACAAAACAACAAAAAACAAACTATGGGAATTCACCTTTCTGCTAACAGTCCTGCAACTTTAACAACTTTGTGAATTATCAGACTTGCATACTTTGGTAGGTGAACATTGGTTTCTCTTCCTCCTTTGTGGTTTCTTAAATTACTAGTGAAATTTGAGTATTTTCCTGTGGATAATTAACACGTTTCTTTTTCTTGTGAATCTCCAGCTAATGGGATTTCCCCATTTTCTTATTTGGTTCTAATGAATTTTTTGTTATTAAAAAAATCTTCTTATGTAATACAAAATAGTCCTCTGTTCGCCACGAAGGTTTTTAAGTATTTCAGTTCATTTTTCTTTTGATTTGGATTAGTTTTATTATTTGATGGCTATGTTTTCAAATGCTTATTCATTTAAATTCATGTCTTCTTGATTATTGGATTCTTATCTTACGTTGAAAAGTCCTTCGTCTACTTCTTAATTTTTTTTTTAGTTCTTGTGTTTTCATTAGCAGATTCAAAGTTTTAGGTTTTTTAGAGTTTAATCATTGATTTATTTCCCATTTACCTTGTCCTCAAGTGTGGAGAAAATCACACTATTTCAATTGTGTCAGCATCACGAGTACATCTGGTCCTCCACCTGAGCCCCACTCTTTAGCTCAGTTAATGGGGTTACTTTCCATTTCTTGACACTTTCATTTGCTTCACTCTCCAGCCATCTGTGTCACAAAGATTTTTCAACTTTTGGCACGCATATCTACCTGGAAACTGTCCGTTGTGTTGTCTTTATTCACACTATATGTATCTAATGTACATATTTTGGAGGTGTTAGGGAATTTTTTTTCAAAAGCATATTCTCGTTGGACTCCCTAAAGATTAGATTTCTAGCATAAATAAATGTCTATTCCCTTACTCAGGCAATTTAGGATGAATTCTCCTCCTTATGGTATGTAGCCATCCCTGAACCCAATCCTTTAAACAAAAAAAAATAACATCAAATCTATATCCATATGGCAAGAAGGAGACCCCCACCCCTGGCTCAATAAGCTGTACAGATTCTGGAACATCCACTATTTTTCTTATAATTATTCCATAAATAGCTTAAACCAGGTTTTAAATTTGTAACTATATTAAAAAAAGTGGGAACTTAAGAGCTGAACCTCTGTCTGGCTTAGAAATATTTTCTAGGTTCACTTCTTACTAACCATGTGATCTTGGGCAAATTATTTAATTCTATGTATCAATTTCATCCTCTGTAAAAGGAGAACCACAATGTTGCCCTTGTCCATGATGATACAAGCATGAAATTATTACACATGGCATGCAATGCCTGACATATAGTAAGTGCTCAATAAATACTCCTTGATGCTGTTTCAGTGATCATTACCACAACTGCTTTGATGACTTGTAGTCTCCAGTCCTGGCGAAGCTAACTGGTTGTTTTGGGCTGATCGATTTTAGATTTTCTGCAGAACTCACAGTCAACATTCAAAATATCCAATTTCCTCTTCGCCCCTAATCAAAACTTCTATGGATTCAACTGAGTCTACACTTGATGGCAACTAAGATTTAAGGGTGTGACATCAACTGCTAGCTACATCAGAGGCAAAAAGGAAAAAATCCTTTAAGGGTTGTTTTACATTTTAAGATAAATAAGCTTTGTAAATGCTTATGAGTATCTAAAAAGTTTTATTGAATAATGTAGCTATTACTTACATTTTTAATGCTGTTATAATTGGGTCATAAACTACAATCTTTTTTTTATATTTCCTTTTTTTTTTCAATATATGAAGTTATTGTCAAATTGGTTTCCATATAACACCCAGTGCTCATCCCAAAAGGTGCCCTCCTCAATACCCATCACCCACCCTCCCCTCCCTCCCACCCCCCATAAACCGCAATCTTAAAAGACATGTAGTAAAATATCTCAAACATTCCAGTGTCTATTTTTATTTATGCAAATTGTCACCTTGAGTATGTTGATATCTCTGTAGCAATATAAATAAAGAATTTACATGGCTAAAAAACCCTGTCAATTAAGCAAGAATTGCCGATGTCTCCCCGTTAATGATGTTTTCTTGATACCTAAGCATTACCTCTACTTTAGCATTCAGAAATTAATTTTAATAAATAACATACCATCTAGACCCAATATCCTTTAATATTTTAGGCCACGTGTAAATATTAAGATGTTTCGAAATTTCTTCGGATTTCTCCACGCACAAACACACACACAAAGTTGAAAACTGGTTTTCAAAAGATGATCATCTGGATTCTCAAAACTATATTAACTGCTAAAGTGAATAATGCTTTTTCTTACCCATATCTGACATTTCAGGCACAGTAACGATGTATGGTCCATCTGTGAACTTTGGAGCGTTGTCATTGATGTCTTGTACTTTGATTATGAACTCGGATTCAGGTTCAAGAGGCTTGTTTGTTCGACGGTCGATAGCCTGGGCGTGAAGCACATAGTGGGTCTTCTGCTCTCTGTCTAGGCTTTTCGTTGAGTGGATGTCACCGGTGGTGTCATCGATGATAAATATAGTTCCGGCACCTTCTCCAGTAAGGATGTACTTGACGGACCCATCGCCTTTGTCAGAATTGGAGTGCAACTGTCAAATAAAAATGAAATACTTTAGCGTGAAATTATATTCCAGCCTCACGTCGTGTTATCTGAAAATTATCTATAATTTTGAACTTAGTTTGGTTATAACTTTTCTTACCTTCACAGTCTACTATATGGTGCTATAATCATTTCCTTTTCTGCAGTTTTTCTCTACTTGGTATTGATATAGATATCTTTTATGATCTATCTAAGAAATCCAATAATCAATTTAAGAGAAATTAATAAGCAATAGTAATTAAATAAAAAAAACAATAACCCTTGATGTCATCTAGTAAATCACCACTGCATTAACTACACAGAATAGAATTGGATACAGAAATTACCAGGAAATCACTGTTGCCCGCAATACTTCCAGGAATAATGACTTTTTATATTAATTGTTTGGCATTTTATTTCAAACTTAAAATTTAAAAAAAAGAAAAAAGAATAAATGGCAGGATGAGATTCAAATTATTAAAAACTTCCACAAAAGAGGCACTTATTTGTTATAGAGAAATTAATATTATAATGTGAAAAATAAAAATATATATATTAGATTAATTGTTCAGATTTAGAATGAAAGAAAACACAGAAAAATTTTTTTATTATTATTATAAAACTTTAACTGAAAATTTAAATAGGAGTGCTTGATTTAATCAATACATGGTCCTAATTTTTAACTAATAGAAATACACTAATGAATTCTCATTTATTAAAATAAAAGTGGCATATTACACTAATAGATACTACAAAAGGAACATTTCACTAGCGAAGAAGTATTTAATAAGAAAGGTAAATACATATTAAGATAATTATAAACCACTTTTTTGTCATTTAAGCATCAGGAAATGCTTTTAACCTGCATGTGATTCATACTTCTTAATCTATTGTAACTTCTGCCATCTTTGCATAAGTGACATTGCTATATTTCTAGCTAGAAATAACCACAATTTTTCTTAAATCTCACACATCTATTTGAAGAATTGTTTCTCTTGAGAGATCTGAAGTTATCCTTCATATGACATCTTTCTGGTAACCTAATGTCAACCACTCACCTTTGGCTCAATTGTGACACTTGGAAACATTGAAAAAATATAACCTTGTTCGCCTAAGTTTTGGATTTCTTACCATAATAAAGAGAAAATTTTCAAGGATTATTTTAAAGGCTCTGAACCCTTAGAAGACGTTTTCAAAAAGAGAAAATATAGAAAAATATAATAAACTATGACAAAAGGACTATTCCATGGTAAAATGAAGGCAACTAAATATAAATTGTAGTATATCCTAAATAATCTTATATCTTTCTTGAAAACACATAAGGTGTAAACAGGGACAAATTCTGATGGGAATCACCTAGCAAGATTCCACAAATCGTTATCTTTTCAAAACTGATTTTTTGGAGCTTTTATAGAGACGAATAAAAATGCATTAGCAATGTATGAAAAACACAGCTTTCAAAGATTCACACTTCATTAGTAAATTAACAGCTAAAAGAAGAATGCAGCATGAGTTGTGTGGAGACAATTGCATGCATGGATGGAAATGTATTTAGTCATTTCTTTTGGTTTCTTGCCATATCTTTTTAGCATCTAGAAGAAAAATTTATCATTTCTGAAGCAGATACACCTGCAAAATATCAACAGAGTGGCCTGTTTCAGTCTCCAACTTTGCTTTAATCTGTGACCCAAACAGAGCAACAAATTCATTTAAACAAATGGTTTTAAAACCTTTTCTCAAAATCTCTTGTTATGAAGTGAAACATTAGATAGTCTTATTAGCTATTGTTATACTATACATTAATTATAAGTCTATATAATGAAATTAAAACCCTTTTGGGGAAATGTCTTGTAGTTCTACCATCTAATTTCAGAAAGACAGCGATGGTGATGATTGACTTTTATCATCAGGATATATTTTTATATCTTCTATGTTCTTAGGTTATTTTGATATTATTTTATTTTGTGTTAAAAGTTTGTATTACAAAAGTTGGTCATATTTAAGAATGGCCTTATATATGTAGACTTGCAATGAAAGTATATAAAAGAAATAGTAAAGTTGTCAACTTAAAGCACTATGAAAAATATAACACACTCTATGCTTTATGTAGGTTGTGGTAAGCAATTCATATAAGAGAGAAAATGTCAGTAATTTTATGTCTTTAGATTTTAAGAATTGAATCTGGTTCCACATAAAGTGTTTATATTTAACAAACAACTTAGCCTAAATATTTCAGAAGTTATGTCTGACTTGAAAATAGACGTGCAATAAAATCAGTGAATTGTAATTTAGCAGTATTTATAATATTTGATAACATGGTAGAAGTTACATTAAAATGTTGCAAACATGTATTTGAATTTTATAAGGTGTTGACAATGCTTATCTTGAGTGTTTAAATAATGCAGATAATCATTTCAATAATGGAGTATTTAAATCTCTCAGTGGGCCTAGCTGAATCTTGGAATGACTAGTTTTTATGTTAACACTGATGGGAAGCTACTACAACAGCATTTAGGCAAATTAATAGCTTATATGATTAGGATGATCAACATTTGTGAAACAACAAAGTAACCCACTCTCAGGATGACCCCTCATCTATCGTACACCCATTTCCAAATGTTCAGTTTGGTTGGAATACATCCTTTGTAACAGAGATGGAGCCTTAGAGAAAAACCAGCTATAGAGAAAAATCAGCTTAATAAGTGAGCTTTAATATCTGGAAAAGCATGTTTCATATTTGTTTTTTTAAGGCAACAGATGATGCATCAGTGAGTGAATGAATGAATGAATGAATGAATGAAATGGCTGAGCAGGAATGGTGGTAGTAGTGGGCGTAATCTTAAAATAGGGACAGGAAGCTCTTTGATGCAGACAGTCAAGTAATATGGATAACCAAGGGAGAAATGTGTTGTCTCTGAGTGTGGGCAACAATAAAGCATCAAAGGAAAGAAGCGGAAGTAGGGCACATGCAGTAGAAATACTCTGGATATAGACATGGAGCTGACTTAGCAACAGCAAAATATGATGTTGTAAGATGAGCTAGCTCTTATGCTATTTAAGAGAGATTTTCATCATATTGTACATTGACATGTAAAAATATTTGGGAGACAAAGTTGATGTTAGTCATCAGTATTGAACTCTTTTTGGCAGACAGTTTGGAAATAACAGAGAGAAAACAGTGGCAGGGTTTTATAACACACAGTGGTAGGAGTATACTCTCCGAGTCATGAGATTTTGCAAAGTGAGTGATATTTTTTATGCTGAAGGACAGATGTTACAATATTGTCCTAAAGCAAGAAGGGACAATGCTCGCGTATGTGATCACATAATAAAGTAGGGTTAATGAACTACTCTTTAGAAAACAGAAAAGGGGAAGAGAATGAAGAAAGAGAATGAAACCACTCAAGTAAAGCAAAATGACCACTTCTCTGGCATGACTTTAATAAATTATCTCTTTCTTATGTTAAGTAGTAACCTATGGCACTTGGAAAGCTAATATGACTCACATGAGTTCCCCCTGGAAAACTATTTATTCACCCTGGACCACATTCGGATCAGGACCTAAAAATTTATAGCTTTCACTCCAACTACAGAGTTCTTCACTAAGATAATATTCTATCCCTTAGGGAAGAATAACTTTAAAAGGTTAAGAAGATGATGGCAGAGCAATTAATTTCAAAAGTTGCTTTTAGTGAAGACTTTAAGCCACGTTAAAAAGATAGGTCACTGACTTAAAACGATAATATTTTGAACTACATATTTTATGTAATTTTTTTATGAGTAGGAAACTTATATTTACAGCATTCCAGGGGAAGCCAGCAGTAAACATTGCATAGTAATCCCACTATGATTATTTTTCCAACACATAAAATGATGCAATATAAGGATCACATGAAATACATATTATTAAAATTTATTATGCACCCTTTATTCCACAACGTGTTATATTTCAAACAATAAGTAGATGAAACAAAATTCAATTGAACTGTTAATAAGTAATTGACGTAAAGAGGAAAAAACATTTCAAATCATATTAGTCTCTTGGTAACTAACATATCTATCTTGTGCAAGAAAAATACAGAACCGTCAGTTTTAATTATGCATCAATTAATATGCAAAAAAGTTACATTAGAAATAGTGATGAAGTACTCTGTTCAACCACATATCTAATGTCAATTAATTAAAAGGGTAAGAAATTAGGTGAGAGTAAGGAAATAGGTGTGGTTGTTGAACTAGAAACATCAGAGCTCTTTGCCAACATGTAAAAGCCTCCCGTTGAATTTCAGTTTTTCACTTTTAACTTCTTAATCAGTATTCTCAGAGAAGGAAACTAATGAATGAGGAGGAAGAGGGAAAAGAATAGGAAGCAGCACGTGTTTATTATATCCCCTGAACCCCAGATTAAGGGTATTAACGTACAAGATAAAAAAACTGTAAGATATCTCTGAAGTCTGAGTTGCTATAATTCCATATCCTTCAGATATCCTCTAGAGAGCCCCATCTGGGTGTGCCAAATATTGGGGCACTGCAGGAGGTAAGCCAGTGGTTGAGAATTTCACTTTTAAGTGTTGGAAACCCTCAAAAACTAGTCAATCGATTAAAGTTGCAATGAGATATATGAGGCACAGGAGGACCTATTCTCTGATATCAGAGTTAATCTCTGTTCTTTCATCTGCCAATTAGGGTCTAGCTGAGAAAGAGATGGCCCTGGAAGCTGGTTTTAAAGAAAAAGAAATCTCAGAGTGTACTAACATTAGTACAATTCCGGCCCCAAATACTGGTCCAAACCACTGTCCACGTATTCACAGGGGTTGGCATTTCATCTCCATTAAAACTCTGTCATTACTGTTCATTTTAGCCCTTTGTTCGAATCAGAAAGCAGAAGATGCATAGAGAAAGGGGAGGGAAGGAAAATTGAAATGGGAATGATTCAAACATTTAGAAAATGTATCTGACAATAAAATGTAAGATTATAATTTAATCTAGCAATCACTATTAGAAGTATATATC